ACTCGTCTTCTTTTTGAATTCATCGGTACATCACTGGATAAAAATTACTGAAAAGTAATAAATTTATTATCTGCTTTGTCTGGGTTATATTTCAATATTCTTAAAACTGACGAAGTATTGCAATTTCCGGTCAAATATCCTCGACGTGGTTACGAGGTTTTAACGCGAGGCTTCGTGCGCATCAGGCTGATGTTTTGCAAAATTTCCAGGAATTTTTTAGCGCCCCGGGAGGGCACACTGGACACGACGACGATAATTAAATATCCGCGCGGTAATTAACGAGCTAGAGCAAGACGCCATTAGCCGATCGTTGAACCGAGTCACGAGAGACACGCGAAAAAAAAACTAGCCGACCCGCGTACGTTACTTGTCGGCCAGTTTTACGACCGCTCGCGTTGCAAGCACTGTCGCATAGGGGTGGTAGCCCCCCTTTTCGTGGTAGAAAAAAAAAAATAGAATTATTCGAAAGCTAGCGTATATACGAAGGGGAGCTCTCTTTCAGGTTTATCGATCGATCAACTCGAGACCGAAAAGCGAGAGGAAATCGGCGAAGGAGGAGATAAGATATAAGTTACGTGCTGCGGGTGTATTTGCCTAAGTAGGTAAATGTAACGATATCTTATCTCCCAATTCTTCCCGAAGGAAGCAGAATTCTGACCACACCTATATATCGCGTTCGTAATGAAAACAGAAGAAGCAAAATACACCGAGATCGAGAACTGCAACTTGCGCTGGCAACTGATTGCGGACCATAACGAGTGACCAAATCACCGTATACAATAATTCGCCGGTAGAAATTGTTGAGAAGTAATAAATTTATCATTTGCTTTGCCCGGATTACACTTGAATGTACTTAAAACTGAAGAAAATATTGCAATTCTGGGACAAAAAGATTTTAATTACTACGCTCCTGATCTATAAAGAGCCAACAACAACGTTGACGTTTCATCTTCAGTTCTTTTCGACAATTTGTCAGAGAAACGTTTCACAAATTCAGAATAATAACGTTTAATCGTTCGTATTTATCAAACTCTTATCTTCCTAGCTGGTGAAACTTCTGTCACACGAATGAAAGATCAGTGTACGTTTCACAAGTTTATGTAATTACATTTCCATCGTGTGCTCTATATTTGGTGCTTAACACTGGCACTACAGGGTGATCAAAATGACACAATTTTTTTTGTTATAAAACATATATAAAACACTGTGTTTATGTTATGTATAATTATATACAAATAATGTTATGTTACATTATGTTATATATAATTATATATAATGCTATATATATAAAAACACTGTATTTTCAGAAGTTCAAATGATCTTTTACAAAATACCCAAATAAAAGCTTGCATCCCGAAGGTTTTTCTATTTTTCTTTACTTCAACATCACCGAATGAAAATATTCATACTGTATGGTCGTCGAGTGCTCTATATTTGGTGCTCAACACTAGAACTACCAAGAGGGTGACCAAAATGACACAATTCTTGTTATACATATATATTAAACACTGTATTTATGTTATGTATAATTATATATAAATAATGTTATGTTACATTATGTTATATATAATTATATATAATATATATAAAAACACTATTTTTAGAGTTTTAAACTGTATTTAAGTAATCAACTGTGTTCAACACTGTATTTTCAGAGTTTTAAACGATCTTTTACAAAATACCCAAACAAAAGCTTGCACCCCGAAGGTTTTTCTATCTTTTTTTACTTCAACATCACCGAATGAAAATAGTCATACTCTATGGTCGTCGAGTGCTCTATATTTGGTGCTTAACACTAGAACTACCCAACAGGGTGATCAAAATGACACAATTTTTTGTTATACATATATAAAACACTGTATTTATGTTGTGTATAATTATATATAAATAATGTTATGTTACATTATGTTATATATAATTATATATAATATATATAAAAACACTATTTTTAGAGTTTTAAACTGTTTATTTAAGTAATCAACTGTATATTCAACACTGTATTTTCAGAGGTTCAAACGATCTTTTACAAAATACCCAAACAAAAGCTTGCACCCCGAAGGTTTTTCTATCTTTTCTTTCTACTTCAACATCACCGGATGAAACAGTCGTCGAGTAGTTCTAGCGTTAACAAGTGAGAAAGCACGTTTCCTCCACCGTCGGTCTCTTCAAGAGACGAACGGACAAGAAATACTAGGAAAAATGTGATTGGACTTACTGTGAGCGTAGTGCGCGGCGGCTGCGGGATGATGAGCGGTTGGCCCAGCATGAGGATAATAACCCCTGTAATCGGTGGGATTGCCGACGACACCGGCGACTCCTGCGCCCCCGGATGGCGGCTCCAGCGTGGACCTGGGGGGCTCGTACCACCTAGCCGCGCTCGACTCGCTGCTCATGTCCATCCTGACGAGATCGTTCCTCCCTCTTGCCACTGACGAAAGGGCGATGAACAAAAACGTCGGCGCGATCCGATCGTTCGGGAGGGATGAGAGGACGGTGGAGGAACAGGGGGGAGGAGGGGGAGGAGGAGGGGAGGTTCGTTACTCCAGCAGCAGCAAAACACGAGAGGGGGGGGGGAGAGGGCGACGAAGGAGGAAGATGGAAAAAAGGGGGATTAGGAACGCTGCCAGAAACGCTTCTCTGCCGGAAGCGTGGTCCTACTACTGAGGACGCTCGGCCAGATCATAGGTAATCCCGTCGCGTTTCGTTCGCGATCGCGAGGAAAATGATCTCTGTCTCTGGCCCCCGCCTTCTGCAACAAACGGGAAAAAAAGAGAAACGAAACAGTTTCGGGTTAGTGGTTCGAGAAAAAAGAGAGAGAGAATAACGTGTCATTCGCGGATTACACAATATGAACAAGTAAGGGGCCCGACGGAAACTCGAGACGGCCGAGTAGTCGTCCGAAAACCGCGGAATCCGGTTGCAAACGGTCGAGTTTATCTCGTTACACGACTCGACGCGGATGAACGTGGGGGACACACAACACCGACGAATCGAAGATCACTTTCTTTTTTTTTTTCTGAGGTTTAAGTGTGTTAAAGAGAGAGACAAGTAGAAGAAAAAGCACTAGATCTAAAAGGATGCGGCACGCGTACGACGGACCGATGGTAATCAGATCCTCCATCGATCGATCGGCCAATTTCGACCAATTTCTTCCTTCCGGTCTCTCTCTATCTATCTATCTTTCTCTCTGAAATAGCAGGAGATAAACGCGCGAACAAACCAAGAAACTCGCGGGCCAGACTCACCCGTCCGCGATCACGATAAACCGATCGCCCCGAGAGATCTCCGGTTAATTAGCTCCCGATCTGCGCGCTTCGGCGCAGGCGACACTGATGTGTGCCCAGGCCACTCGACCAATGCCTCCAAATGATTTATCAATCGGCTCGAGCGCGCAGTCAATGATCAAGGTCATCGATGACGCAACCAAAAGGGACCCCCTTCTCGATCGCCCGATATCGATATAGAGCCGACGTGCTCTTGGGGAACGAAGCCCCAGCGCCAAACATTATACACAGAGTTGGCTCGAGGATCGCGAGGATCTTTTTTTTTTTTTTTTTTTTTCCATGTCGATGTCGTAGTCTCGAGGGAATAACGATTTCCACTTTCACTCGGTAAATAATAAATACGACGTAAGTAACGTATGAACACCTATATAAATATAAGTATGTATATAAACATACGTATTTCCTTTTTTTTTCTTACGTTAATTCTTAATTTTACGCTGATCCTTAATTCTCAATTTTCTCACATTGAGATCTGAATTATTCTTCACTTTCTTACTAATTGATTCTGAATTTTCATTTCTATTTATTAAAACGGTTGCAAACACCATTTTACAACGATCGCGCATTACCTGAATCACAAAAGTCGCAGATTATCTCTGATGGAATAGCTACTCGAATGATAACAGTAACAATGTGTACAAAATTAGATAACGAATATTTTCTTTCCTCTAATACTGTGTTTCATACAGTATATCAACACGTACATCTGTATCCATAATATCTAGAATGAAGCTTCCGGTTAATAATAGGTCATTATATTCAAATCCGTGGGGATTTAAAAGTTCCTGCTGTTCGCCGACGATTTCAAAGTGGCTGTTCGTCGCATGATAGAAACGTCGAACGTGATCGACATCATCGAAAGTGATTTCTTTTTTTTTTTTTTATCACGAAATAATTCTCGATAGAACTCCCGAAATATATTATACATTTACACGCTCCGTTGGCGAGAGGCGAACACTTCCAAAATTATATGTCCAGGGCAAATAAAATACTCGAGAACAAGATCCGATAAGATATTACACAAAAAGCCAGGCGATAAGATTAACGCCCCTCCGGGCATTTTCACTAATTTTCCTCATCACCGATTCTCTCCACTTTCCATGCCGATTACACCGATCGTAATTATCACAAATTTTTTTTTTTTCACTGCTCACGGTCGCGTCGTTCCGTTCCAATTCCTTCTAGCTACTATTAGCGATATTACCGACGAACAGGCCAACTCGTTTCCTTCAATTCGTTTCTCAGAGAGAGAGATTACATCGAATCGCCGACCTTGCTGTCCGAGTTTATCGATTAAACGTCTTAGAATATCAGCGCAAATACGAATCGAGAGTATCGATCAAATCATGGCCGACGGGCGGCCATTATTTCTTTTTTTTTTTTTTTTTCTTTCCTTTCGTTCATCACCAGGGAAAATCGAAGAAACAGGAAGACAAACGTCGTTCGAGATCGCGCGGAATCAGATGTCGAGAATCATGGGGGACAAACAAACAAAAGGGCGATTACCAAATTTATCCGACATTTTCGGACGATCACTTTTACGAGTCGTGAGGCGGGCCATCGAGATAAGCGACCTTGGACACTGATAAACCGAAGTCGTCGAACAATTTCGAAAGAGCAGATATTAACCTCCTGCCACCGCACGTCGAGAATTTTTCGTCCCGAAATTGCAACAACTCGCTTCAAGTATATCTAAACGTAACCCAGGCGAAACAAATGACAAGTTTATTACTTATTAATCATTTCTATCCAGCGATGTCATACCCGACGAGTTCGAAAGGAAAAGAAGGCGACGAATTGTTGTGTACGGTTCGGTCCCTCGTTACGGTCCGCAAGCGGTTGAAAGTCGAACATGTCGAGATACGGTCAATCATACAAATATTGTCAAGCCATCGTTCGTCGAAATGGAAAAGGAGAAAGCTCGGGGCGTAAGTCGAAACATCAGATTTCGTGACACGTCGAATTTCGAGCAAAGTCCCCAACAAAGTTCAAAAATCCCCGCTTCACGTTGCGTTTCGACGATTTACGAACGATGATCTTTATCACGCGATTTCGCGCAATAACAAACATTTCGACAGGTAAGCGAGTGACGGCTTATCAACACTCGGTAGATAAGATTTCTCCCCCGAAAGTTCAGTGTAAAGCGCAGGTTAACCATCGGCGTCACCTCGAAATTCGCGCCGATTCGTTTCACGATTTATCAGCAAAAGGTGACACCGGCGTTACATCATCGCAGCGAAAAAAAAAAAAAGAAAAAGGAAAGGAAAAAAACACCTCCATCGAAGCGAGCCGGCCGATCACGTATCGCTCAACTAATCTTATCGAGATTCGTTAATCTTGTTCTGTCCGAAAACGGCGCCGCGCGTTGCACGTGCGGAGCAAATCACCGCCGATTTCGTGACACGTCGAATTTCGAGCAAAGTCCATCAAAGTCCGTCCAACGTGGAAAAACACGCCTAACGAAATATCGTAGAAACGGATCATGGGCTAGAAAAAAAAAAAAAAAAAAAAAAAAAAACATCTCTGAGATAGAAATTAATTAAATAATTAATCTCTTCTGTAATAATTTTCGTCGTTTGCAAAATTGGGAAAAGTTGAAAGAAGTGTCGAAGTTAGCAAGCGAGCTCCCGAGTCAGAGATTCAGTGTTCAAGGGTTAGATTAATTAACGACGCGTCAAAAAATATAAATTCGAATCTAGAAGGTAGAGACTCTGAGAAACGATGGTTGGAGGAACGATTGAGAAAGATGAGGGAACGTGTATACTTTGAATACCTTAGGCGACGCGTACCGATTTCCAGCCGTCGGATCGAGAGACTCCGAGAGTCTCTGAAACACGATACCCAGAGAAACTTTCGAACGTTTTGTCTCGCGAAGGACGAAGGGACATTGCTCGAGATACGTGCTCCTAAAAAAGGGAACTACGCGAGGAATGCTTAATATCCAAGTTATTCTTGTGGTACGATCGAGCAAAGTTTGTTGTACGTGAAAAAAATAAATAGGCAAGAAGAAAGAATGAAAACCTCGTTTACGAGAAAATAAACTTTTTTGAACACGTTTGGTCGAGACGTGTTAACCTCTTGCGCTAGTAACTGGTTGACGGACCATAACGAGTGACCAAAAACCGTACACAATAACTCGTCTTTTTTTCGAATTCATCGGGACGTCACTGGATAGAAATTACTAAGGAGTAATAAATTTATTATTTGTTTTGCCTGGGTTATACTTAAATATACTTAAAACTGAGAAAATATTGCAATTTTGGGCCAAATATTCTCGACGTGCGCGGCACGTCATTCCGGTGCAAGTTAAACTCCTCATAAATAACTGGTTGACGGACCATAACGAGGGACCAAATCGTACACAATAAAACTCTTCTTTTTGAATTCATCGGTACATCACTGGATGGAAATACTAAGAAGTAACAAATTTATCATTTGTTTTGCCTGTGTTGTATCTCGATATACTTAAAACAGAAAATATTGCAATTTTCCGCCAATTATTCTCCAGCGTAACAAGTTAAACTTCCAAATTCAATTCTGTCGGTAACAAAGCGTCTTAAAAAAAAAAAGGATAACATTGCACAGTTTTGATTTGTTTTCGCGAACAGTATAACTGTATAATTTTGTTAATTATTCGTTCCTAACATAAGAGTTAAGTTGATGAACTTTCAAACTCAATTTCTTCAGAAACGAAATCTCGTAGGAAAAAAATGTTATTTCACATTTTCCTCGTGCAATCTCCCTGTGTTAAATACTACCGCCAGTTACAATATACTTTGTATATTATCGTTGTACATCGAGGCGAAGGCATTAAGAAACAAGTTCGTACGAAAACAGGATTCTGTAATGTGTCGATCGTGCGTATGAAGAATTTATGATTTCTATCTCGGACGAGCTGATATTAAAGGGGGAATACCGGATTCGACGATTCCCGATGAAAAGAAGAACTCGTAAATTATTCGGCCAACGTCGTTACCGAGAATTATCTCGCAAGATTTCACTCGAGATCGAATCGTCCAATAATTTTATTACTCGTTGCAGAAACAATGGCGGGTAACGTCGATCTCTTTATGATCGGCAGTGCAATTAATTTATCGACATTGCAAAATCTTTCGAGCCGTTTGTAAATTCTCCTTCGAGAAATGTTTCCAATCAAACACTCAATCTCGCGGAAGAAATTAACGAGAAGGGATAATTATACAATATGGAAATTCATACTTTCGTCGATCGATGGCCACGAAAGAAACGAGCGAAACGACGATTCGAATGCGTCGTTCCGCTAATAAGCGGAGGCATTTCGCGGCTAATAAATGAAAACAGAGACCGACGGCCGTTTATTATACTTGCAAATTACCAATTATAGGCCCGCGCAAACTATAAGCCGATATTCCCTCCCTTTCGCAACGGGGAGCGCGCGTCAACCCGATTTTCCCTTCGAAAATCGACCAGTTTCTCGCCCGATTCCACTGACCGTGCCACGTATTCTCCGAATTCATACCCGTCGCTGTCAATCTCCAACTCTGAATTTTGAAAATTGAATTTCGAAATATCCCAAACGACCGTCAAAACGTAGGGTTTGCTTCGCACGAATCGAAACTCACGTAAGAAAATGATGAAAATCAACCGACAAATCATTAATAAAACTTAACTGAATCAGTAGCGGAAGTATGTAATTTCTTATTCATTGAAAAATTACTTTGGAAAGTAATACCAAATTAATTAATTTAAATAAGGTGATACTAAATTACTAGATTAATTGAAAAATTACTTCGATTTCGGAAACTTCACCTCAGCTCCGTTTTACGCGAAAGAGACGGTAACATTCTTCAACTTTCAAAGAACGAACGTTTTCAACTCCCGTCAATTTCTTGTTAAATTCAATTGTCCGATCAAATACGCCACTTTATATCCCTGAAGGGATTACAACACTTCGGTCAGCTATCCCGAATCATTCTGACGTCATCAACGAATCGATCGACTTTCGACGGGTAATCGACGAGGAGAGAAAGAAAGAAAAAAAAAAAAAAGAAAAAAAGAAAAAGGAACAAGAACTCCACAGGAATAACGGGGGAGACGAATTTTTCTGGAGAGCTCGTTCTCTCGAAGAATACCTGCGTGACACTCTCAAGACGCTCGTAATTTTCATTTCCGCGTCAATGGATTTTAGTACGGGCAGGCA